GGCATTTGACAGTTGAAACTCTACATGCCATTACAAATAACATTACAACTCGGCCCATTCTGACAAGTAATCGCCCTCGATTAATTATAATTCTAAATCCTCCTCATTCCCTAAATATTCATAATCTGTACAATCATCATCTGTTATGTTCTTATTGCTATTTACAATTTCATCTGTTTCGCTTTCGTTTTCACTTACATCTGTGTTGCCTTCTTCGTCCAGTTCTTCAATGTTTTTACACGGTTCTAGCCACTTTTTCATTCTACTGGAATCAATTACACTATTATATGGCATCTGTGTTACTTGGCAATTTTCAACGTCTGATACTACATATCTGTCATGACCCAACTGTTTGCGAATTACATAAGGCCCCTTGTATTTCGGAATTAATTTTTTGTTCTTCCCTACTGTCGTGTCTACATTTTTTATTACAACCAAATCACCTACTTCAAATTCTTTTGCGGGCTTATGTTTTTCCTCAAAATATTTTTTATTGTACAACTGAGACTTCTGAATTCTTTGTTCTGCTTTCGCAATAATTTCGCTTCGATTCTCTGTTTCTTTTGAATAAAGATCATGCAAATATTCAGTCAATTCATCGACGGCAAGTCCACGCTGTTCCACATTGAACAATAGTTTACTCGGTGTTTGGCCAGTTGTGCAGTGCACCGTATTGTTAATAGCGAATTCAACGTCAACCAATTTATTTTTCCAATTCGCGTGATTCATGGGCTCGGTCAACTTAGACAATACACCTATCAGTGTACGATTCACTCTTTCAACTTGACCATTTGACTGTGGTGAGGCTACTGCATTCACAACTCGCTCAATTCCCTTCTCATTACAAAAATTTTTAAATTCTTTCGAAGTAAAACACGTTCCTCTATCATGCACCATTCTTCTGGGTCTACTGTATTCTACAAAATATCTCTTCAATGCACATATAGATTCTTTCGAACTGGTGTTCGTAGCATATAACTTTGTAAATTTCGTAAAAGAATCAACAACTACTAGCACATGCTTACGCTTTGAACCAACTGTTTCAAATGGACCGATGTGATCGATATGCACTGTGTCAAAAGGCACTGGCTTCTTCGGAATATTGTATAAATTACGCTCGTTGCTTCTGTGTGCCGCTGAATAATATATACACTTCAAGCAATTCCTAATAAATTTGTTCAACTTTTCTCGCATCAATGGGAACCAATAATGCTTCTGAATCTGATTTGCACATTTATCAATGCCAAGATGCCCATAATTCTCATGCACTGCTCTCATAATACTATCTTCCATTTCCATAGGCACATACAACTGTTGACATCTGTCATTCACCCGAAAAACTAACCCGTTTTCTAATTCATATCCCTTCACATCACTTCTCTCCAACTTGCTTCTTAGTTTTTTAACTCTTGGGTCACGCGACTGTGCAATTTGTATGTTCAAATCAACCTCATTTTCTGCGATTGTGCAAATCTGTGATATTCTACTTAAAGCATCCACGTGAGCCATTTGTTCGCCACTTCTGTGTCTTACTTTAAAATCAAATAACTCAAATCCTAAAGTCCACCTGGCGATTCTAGGGTTAATGTTCTTTTTTTCTAACGTCTGTACTAATGAATTACAATCTGTCACCACTGTAAACACAATCCCTTCCAATAACGACTTAAATCGCTCTAAAGCATTAACGATGGCTAGTGTTTCCAATTCAAAGCTATGGTACCGTGACTCTGGTTCTGTCGTTGTCTTTGAATAGTAAGCAACTGGGTGAAATTTGTTGTCCTTTTGCTTCTGTAATAACATTCCACCATACCCACGCGTACATGCATCTGTGTGTAGCTCTGTTTCACGTTTTGGGTCAAAAATACACAACACCGGCGGCTCTAAAAGTTTATTCTTCAATGTTTCAAACGCATCCTTACATTCTTCTGTCCATTCGAATTTCACGTTTTTCTTTGTTAAATTGGTCAACGGTTTGGCAATCGTAGAAAAATTGTAAATAAATCGCCGAAAATACGAAAATAATCCCAAGCATCTCTGTACTGCGTGTGCATCTGTTGGCACTACGTATTCTCTTATGGCTTTTAAATGATTATCATTTGGTCTCATTCCATTCTCATTTACAATATAACCCAAATATTCAATTTCACGATATGCGAATCTACACTTATTAAAATTTAACCTCAATCCAGCCTCTGCTAACAATCGCAATACTTCTGACAAAATTTCTTCGTGTTCCCTTAACGTTTCTGTGGCTATATTGATATCATCCAAATATACAACAATTTTTCCTGCATCAATCAAAGGCTTTAGCACACGGTTAATTAGCTTCTGAAATACTGGTGGTGCGTTCTTCAGTCCAAAAGGCATGTAACAATACTCATATTGACCCGTTGGTGTAACAAATGCCGTCAACGGTATTGACTCTTCTTCCACCGGCACCTGATGAAATCCACTTTCTAAATCTAATGTACTAAAATACTTTTTCCCACCCAAATACGTTAAGCAATCCTCGATTAATGGCAACGGATAATGATCTTTAACTGTTATTTTGTTCAAAGCACGATAGTCGACGCACATTCTCAAGTCTCCGTTCTTTTTTCTCACTAACACAATCGGCGATGCGTAAGGCGATTCACTGTGTCTAATTATTCCCCGAGCCAACAAATCATCAATTGTTTTTTGTACCTCTGCTTTTTCTTTAAAAGACAATCGGCGTGGGCTACTGTACACTGGTGCATCGCTGGTCAATTTTATTTTCATAGAATACGCTGTCAATTTTTTTTCTTTGTCAAGCAGTTTAACGTAACTCTTGTCGATGGTAGACCTCAAAGCATCTGCTTCTCTTTTATCTAATTGTTTGTCAATGTCAATTAAATCTGATAACAATTCATCCGCCTCAGTTGTATTTATTAGCATAATAAGTTCATCAAAGTTATTTAAATCTTCTGGCTCAATTAAATTAACACAATATTCCATACGTTCTTCACATGACATAAGGTCATTAATCAAGTTAATCTCAGGGTCAGACTTACACATTTTCTCTTTACCTACTTGTGGCACCGTTTTCTTTTTCTCTGGACTCTTAAATAAATTGAACAATTCAAGTGCACTGACGACGGTTTCGTTTGGAATCTGGGCTTTATTTCTATTTAATTTCAATAAATCTTCAATACTGTATTTTATTTCTTTTACTTGACATAAATGGATATTCATTTTTTTGAGTAAATCTCGTCCGACAAGTAGATCTACGGCTGCTTCTTCATCTGGCAAAACAAGAAAATCATGTGTGAGAATATGTTCACGAAACACAAATTGACATTTTACAAAGCCGTACATACTTAATGTTTTATTGCCCATTCCACGATAACCCGATGGTCTATGATTTTTGTTCACTAAAAACGGCACATAGGACCTCTTCACAGTGCTAACGGGACTGCCAGAATCAAAAAGAGCAATACGCGAAATTAGTTCAGTGCACTTATCTTGTTCATAGAAGGCAACACTTACCAAATTAGTATGTGACAACTGTTCGGCTAAACGCTTGACTTCATGTTCCTCTGACTCGGCAATGGCTGCTGCGACGGCTGCTGCATTGGCTACTTCTGATGGCTTCTTCTTATCCGGGCAATCATGGCGGGTATGGCCAACTTTATGGCACACGAAACAACTGTTGATTGGCCGCTTTGGCTTTTTGCATCGGCTTTGATAATGCCCGTAATCGAAACACTTATAACAACGAATTGTTGACATATCCACTCCATTCGCGCCCGCATTGACATTGGCACTGGCTACTGAAGCATTAAAGCCACTGTTGGCAACTGTCATCAACGCTTTGGCTTTGTTTGCAACTGGTTGAATTAACACTTTCTTCATTGACATCATTGCATTGCGCTTCTTTTCGTATCTTTCCATCAACACTTTGAACTCAACCATGGTTGTGGCACTGTATAACATTGACACCAGTGTTGAAGAATCATTGAGACCATCGATGATTATTTCAATCAAGTCTGCTTCAGAAACTTCTGCTCGGCTGGCGATAAATTGCATTTCAATCACATACTGACGCGGTGTTTCATCTGGCTTCATCGTGCGCGCTTTCAATTGCTTCAATACATCTTGCACAGTGTATGCCCGTTTGTATTCCGTGATCAATGCCCGTTTCAAGTCAACATATGACATCACATGAGTAATTTGCACAAAACGTTTCGCACTTCCATCCATTAAATGCCGTGCGGCCACCAGTTGATCACGTTCACTGTATTTAAACATTTCGAACACATTTTCAAGATCAGCAATCCATTTACTTACATCTTGTGCGTCTGAACCATCGAACTTTGACATCATTGCTTCGAGCACTTTTAAATCAATGCGTCTGGTTTCCAACTGTTGTAATTCACGTTGTAATTCGAGTAATTCACGTTTCTTACGCATGATTGCCAACTGACAATCCAATTCTGCTTCTTCACGTTCCATTTGCAATGCCCAGTTTTGTTGCACGATTTGCTGCTGTTGAATTTGTTGAATCTGTTGCTGCTGTTGCACGTCTTGGATTGGCTGCTGTTGCACATTTTGCACTGGCCCACTTTGAATTGGCTGCGGTTGCACATTTTGCACCGAAACATTTTGGATTGGCTGCTGCTGCACGTTTTGGAGTGGCTGCTGTTGCACATTTTGCGCTGACACATTTTGGATTGGCTCGCTTTGGATTGGTTGTTGTTGCACGTTTTGCTGCTGTTGTGACTCGTTTCCGACCGGCTGCTGTGCATTTTGTTCGTCCTGTGGTTGTCGCTCTTCCACGTTATCCAACATTACCGCACTTTCATCTGGTTGTTTTCGTCGCAATTGCATGTTCTGTGCCATTAAATCATCGTACAGTGGGCGCAATTGTGTCATCGTGGCTTCTGGATCGAATTGAACGCCCGCTTCTTGGAGCAATCGCATGACATCAACTCTGCGTAACATGTTCGACATGGTGCACAGCGAAAATCACAAAAATATTGATGAAATTGTAAATATTTCCACGAAATTTCTATTTTCCCCAATAGATTGTCCACTTATCAATCGAATCCCACTTCTGAATTGTAATGAATTGACACGATGATCGATATTTTTAATGATTAAATTCA